AAAAAAAAAAAAAAAAAAGAATCTCTTTACTTTTCTTTTTATTTCGAACACAAACTTCTCGCCTGTGCCTATTTAAACTCAGTTGATAAAATTGCTGTCGCTGTTGCGACAATCAACCGACATTTAGAGAGAAGTAACAAATACTCGCCGGTTCTTCGTAACAGATGTTCATTGCAAGAAAGATTAAGTACTCGCAAGTTGAGACGACCGGTCTACCGGGTGTGATCTCTCTTTTCATGATTTGCTGATCATTATTACGAACCGAATATATAATACCTGAACAGATGCGTAGAGAAATTTCTCCTTTGTGCCAATCGAATAAAACTCATTCGAATAATTCGCATAGACTTTTCTTTGTTCTTGATTCTTACGAAACTTGAGAAAGTATTATATTACGTTCTAGCGATGCAAATCGACGAAATTGCCGTGTCATTTTACTTCGCATCATTTCACGATGCTTCGTGAAGCGACGAGTTTTTAGGTTATGTTCGAGGGCAAAGGGTGCGTTCCCGTACGAACGAAGTAAATCGAAATCGAAATCGAAATCGGCGCAGGGCGTTACTCGTGCAATTTCCCGTGGAATTATTCCACGCACACGCCAACGGCAGTCGCGGTGATATATGGACAGGCGCGTAAAAGACGTGCGCCACCTACACGCGTGACCTACGACCGCGGCCGAATATTGAATCACTTTAATATCTCGGAACGAAACACGAGACGTGGTCGACAGAGTCGAGTCACGGCTCGTGTCGACCTTCCTCTCCCCTCTTGCGCGCGTGTTTCGCCGATTCTCCGCTTCTGTCACGCGCGATACCTATCCCACGCAAGAATGAATCGAGACGCAAAGCGTCGAAACCCTTTGGTTTATTAGCCAGATCCTTTCTCACTCGTCCTGCAATCATTCGCGCGAACGAGAAGCTCGGAGAATTCGAGAGAAAAACTGCTCCGATTAACAACGATGTTTGAGTCTAGGATGTGTGACCTTTTTTTACAGAGTCACTGTATATGTATTTACACGTTGATTTACTTGGACACTAAACATTCAAACCGGGACGATCCTCGCGGCAAGGAACGATCGATCT